CGTACGTCCGCACTCTCAAGAAGATTCCCAAAAGAGGCACGTACTGCTATGCTGACTTTCTCAATTTTGCTGGAACTCGATGAGCGAAATGGACTCGAACGCTCCTAAGTCGGCCAAAGAAGTCCCCACTACACTGCCACTTCAGCCAACAATGTCTTCACTTCTACATGCCTTATAGCCCTACCAACTCCTTCCCTGACAAGGAGCCTGCGCGTTTCCTGCCAGTGCTCTTCGTGTGTACTATCATCTTCGCTCTATGGGCCATATACAACTTTGTACGTTATGAATAACTAAGTACCACAGGTCCATGACATCTCAGGTCCACATCTTGCCGCTGCTGCAGCTCGACAGGCCGACAGCTGTACGTCGTGAAATGTAAGTGGAGATGAACCTATTCGCTTCTTATTGGTTATTGTTAGGGCCCAACGAGGATGGATTGAGCTGGTCATATTCAACGCCCTCTTCGCCATGCTACTTGTGTGCTACACTCTATGTGTTGTTACTACTCCTGGGGAGGTGAGAAAATTTATGCTGGAAACGATTGAGTCTGATGCCTCCGCTTGACCCCTTGTCTTTGCATTTCGAATAGTAACAATTCGCTTATCTCAACTATGTATGATTTCCTTCACTACTAGTGTGTGTCGTTAGTGCTAGGTTCTTTGGTGAACTCCTCCGTTTCGCAATCGTATCGATGAAGCGTTGATTTCTGTTGAGTCATTTCGACGGCTATTGGTAGATACCAAACACTGAAAACTGGTTGTATAATGGAGGAGGAGAAGACGAGCCTGTTGGAGCTGATCTTTCCGGACTGGGTGAGATCAGTGATGCTTCGCTTGTTTGGAAAGTGGTAACCGTCAGATGCACAAGAAAAGAAGCGGAGTGGGGAGAGGAGACACTGTAAATGGTGTGGGAAGTGAGGTTTAGTCGTCGAGGGGCTTGCTGTTCATGCGAATGGTCGCAGGTTCAAACCCGACAGATGTCATCATTGCCGAGTCTGCAAGAGATGTGTAAGTTGTCTCACGCTACGAGCAGGATTACCGCGAGCAATAAGATTCCCTCTCCACTTCCCATTCAAAAATTTTTGGACAATTTCACCGAAAATCCACGAAAATTCACGGCGTGAATTCCACGCGTGTGTCCATAACAGCAGAGTTATCAATATTGATCTCTACTGATATGTATTGAGATCATCTTGGTTGCTCCTGGTCATCGCACGGTTGGTGACAATGACATGGATGGTTAGGTCTTGAAGATGGACCACCACTGCCCATGGATATACAATTGTGTTGGGTTCCGTAACCACAAGTACTTCTTCCTACTACTCTTCTATGCAACACTCACGGCTCACTTTGTGTGGATCACTATGATCGAATCGGTGAGATTGGGAGTTGTTCTCTCTAGCGTCACCATGGTTCGAATCTACCCGACTGCTCCTTTCTTGGAAGGCTGTTTGATAACATTACTCCATTGGAATCAACTAGCATCGTGGCTGTTATGTAACTACTGAGGTTTTTGTCAGACGCGTTATGCGGTCGAGGAAGAAGAGCCTTTGGGACGAGTCTTCCTACTGGTATTCGGCATGGTCCTCTCATCTCTCTTCGGGTTACTGTTGACAGTGTTCTTTGCTTTCCACATATGGTAGTAACTCCCGCCCTGTTCTATCTCTTGCAGTCCTATCGTGTAGGTTGGCATTCAAGGCGATGACCACTATTGAGTACTGCGAGAAGTCTAGCAAGAAACAAGACTATACTGGGGTGGGCGCAGCCACTTGGAACTTTATAGATCTTCGTTGCCAGTCTATTTATCATCGTGGATGCTACGGCGACTTTGTAGCGGTAGTTGGGCCGAACCCTTTCTTCTGGCTTTTGCCTATAGGTAGTAGTAGTAGTAGTAGTAGCAGTAGTAGTAGTAGTAGTAGTAGTAGTAGTAGTGGTAGTAGTAGTAGTAGTAGTAGTAGTAGTAGTAGTAGTAGTAGTAGTAGTAGTGGTAGTAGTAGTAGTAGTAGTAGTAGTAGTAGTAGTAGTAGTAGTAGTAGTAGTAGTAGTAGTAGTAGTAGTAGTAG